GGCTCAGAGCTCCGGGGATGCCCCGGGGGTGCCCCCGGGTGCCCCGGGAGTCCGGCAGCCCCCGGCAGCCTACGGCCGAGGCACTGTGCGAGCGAGGAATAATGCAGCAGGCTGGAGACTCCTGCCGGTGGCTGCGCTGCCGCTCGGCAGGAGTAACACCGCTGCAGCAGCACCTCACGCACCAGCCCTCGCTCAGGACTGAAGTTTTGCTGCAGCAGAGGAGCCGGCGGGGAGTCCTGCAGCGCCCTGCAGCTCCACAGCGCAGGAGGGCTGGGCTGCCGGACACCCTGCAGTGGGTGACAGCACACACGGGGGGACATCCCGCGGTGGGTGACAACAGCATCCCGGCCACTCTCACCCGGAGGACAGGAGAGCACTGCGCCCAGGAGCGACCGTGAAGAGACAGAGCGATTGGTACAGTTGGGGACCACAAAGCGATGGGTGACACAGACGCGTGTCCCCCTCTTCCCATGCCACAGTCACCTTGCAAGGCTGCCTGTCCCCTGCGCAATTTGCAGAGAGAGCTCCTTCGGGATCACTCTTTAAAACTAGGCTGAGGGGAGCAGCGAGGTGCTGAGCACAGCAAGGGCTGCGGCACCCCAGTGTGACACCCCCGGTTCTGGACTGAGCCCCTCCACACCACTGCACCCCGACGGCACCCGGACAGCGCGGGAGGGCAGGAGGATCCCGGAGCTTGGTGTAGCCATGGTGGGGGAATCCAGCCGGAGAAGGGTCTGGCTGGAGCTGGCTCCTGGCCAGGCCGCTACGGAGAAGCCGCCAGTGCAGTGGGGCTTGGGGCCGCCCATGGCTGGGGCCACGCCGCTCCCGCGAGTTCCCAGAATCAGGGTGGTTCCCTGCAATGCAGCGGGGACAGCCCTGCGCCCCCCACCACCCCCCGGGGCCAGCACCCCAAGGGCACCCACGGTCGGGCAACCGCAGGGACGCGAAGCTGGAGCATCCCGCAGCACCCAGAGGGCACTTTTGACCCGGCTGAGTGCTCGGCGCGGCACCCCCGAGGATCCCACGTCCTCGGGAGGGTCCCACGCCCCTGAGTGCCCCCCTTCCAGTTCCGCAGCCCCGTGCACCACTGGTCGCCCCCCTCTTCATCCCACCAGGCTCTGTCTCCAGCCGCCTTCGGGGCGCAGCTCCCCACGGGCAGCCCCGGGGGCGCTGGGCAGCGCTGGGACCCGTGTCCCCGGAGGGTTTCCCGGGGAAAGCGCCGTTCCCCGCCCCGCACCCGGCACCGGGACGTGGCGGGTCACCCGTGCGCGCTCCATTCCACCCCACCGGGGGACGATCGCACCTCGGGCGGCGGCGCCGGCAGAGGCTCGGCGGGAGCCCGGGCGGCCCCGTCCTGCAGAGCCCGCGCCGCTGCGGCACCGGGGAGAAACTTCGGCGGGAGTGCGGGCGGGCACTTACCGGCCGGGGCGGCGGGGCGGGAGCGGTGCGGTGTCTGCGGTCGGTGCGGTCGGAGCGGGAGGGGACAGGAGCGGTCGGTGCGGTGCGGGCGGTGCGGGGCGGGCGGCGGGACCTGCGCGGCGCTGCGGCAGCTCCGGCCCCCCCGGGCTCGCGTGCGGCGGCTCCGCGAAGCTCCGCCCGCCCCTGAAGGCCCCGCCCGCGCCCCGCCCACACACCCCGCCCACACACCCACCCACCCCCCGGGGGGGGCGCGGATCGGGGGTCGCGGGGGAGCGGCACCGCCCGTGGGGCTCCCGGCACCGGGTACCTTCCCATCGGGGTCACCTCCCACCGGGCACCTCATACCAGGCGCCAGCAGCGGGCACCGACATCAGGCACCTCACACCGGGCACCCCTCACTGGGGTCACTCAGCACCGGGCACACCTTATCGAGGTCACCTCACACGCAGCACCAGCACTGACATCAGGTCCTGACACCAGGGACTGCCACTTGGCACCTCACACCATGCACAGGCAGCGGGCACCCTTCCTCGGGGACGCCTCACACTGTGCACCAGCACTGCGCATAGGGCACCGGGCATCCCTCACTGGGGTCAGGTCACACGGGGCACCAGCGCCACACCAGGGCACTTCACATCAGGCCTCAGGTCAGACACCTCATACCAGGCACTAATACTGGGCACCAGCACCGAACACCACTCACTGGGGTGACCTCACACCTGCCACCTCACACTGGGCACCCCTTATCAATCACTTCATACCAGTCACCTCACACTGGTCACACCACACTGGTCCTCTCTCACCAGTGACCTTGCCCAGATCACCACCCACTGGTCACCCACCACTGCCACGGCCACCACAGGGACATGCCACCCCAATCAGGTCCCTGCTGTGGCCACAGGAGGGAGGGGTGATGGTGGCACCCTCACCGTGCCTCCCCCACATCCAGAGGATTCCTGGTAACCCAGCTTAGGGGCCAAAACAGCAGGAAAAAGCTGATGGGATTCCAGCAAGCAGCCGAGGTGGGGAGAGGAGGGCGGCGGTGGGGCGGTTTGCCCCTGCAGTGGGGTGCCCTTCCCACCAGTGGGGGCTCCAGTGGGAAGGGGGACCCTTGGACACCCCTTAATCCCCACAGATGAGCCAGGGCCAGGGACCCTGTGGGTTCAGCCGAAACCACCCCAGCTGGGAGTCCCACACCTCTGTTCTGGCAGCACCTGGCTTCCCACTGCCAGAGGGCAGGGTTAGGTGGGATATTGGGAAGAAATTCTTCCCTGTAATGGTGGGAAGGCCCTGGCACAGGTTGCCCAGAGAAGCTGTGGCTGCCCCATCTCTGGAAGTGTTTAAGGCCAGGTTGGACGGGGCTTGGAGCAACCTGGGCTAGTGGGAGGTGTCCTTGCCCATGGCAGGGGGTGGAATTGGATGATCTTTAACATCCCTTCCAACCCAAACTGTTCTGTGGGTCTGTGCAGGAAGGGCTGCATGCCCCTGGGAAGGGAGGTGGTGTTGGCACACAGGCTGTGGGTCACCTTGGCGGGAGCTGCTGAGTGCTGCTGTACCTACACTGGGTGCTGCTGTACCTACACTGGGTGCTGCTGTACCTGGACTGGGTGTTGTAGCCCCTGGGTGCTGCTGCACGTGCCAGGAGCTGTCCCCAAGGGATGCTGTGCCCAAGGGATGCTGTGCCCAAGGGATGCTGTGCCCAAGGGATGAGATGCCCAGTGGCTGTGGCTGCACACCTGGCCCTGTCACACACACAGTCAGTACCTGGCAGGTGCTACTGAACATGCTGGGTGCTGTATGTTCACATTGGATGCACCAAACATGTTCAGGTGCTGCTGGGATCCCTGTGCCCTGCAACTCCCCTCCTCAGCCCTCGCAGCCCTGCAGCAGCCCCCCCCAAATCACAGAGACACCCACGAGCTCCCGGTAGATACTGAGAGCAGGGGAAGGGACTTGCATGGGGATCACATCCCCACTACACCACCCATGAGTGCTGGTTGCCTAAACGAAGGGCCCCTCCCCTGCCCATCACCCTTGAAACACGTGGCTGAGTTTTCCCAAATGCAGGTGTCTGTCTGGAATTGAAGTATCATCATCATCCCCCTGTGGTCCTTCTGCGTCCTCCCCCAGAAGGACGGGGGGAGAATCTCTCTGGGGAGAGATTCCTCTGTCTCACCGGCTCTGTGCCGTGGCAATTCCTGTGAAGTCGCGATGAGTGGGACCCTTCTGCTGCTCTCCTGCCTCCTCTCCTGCCTGCTCTCTTCTCCTGCCTGCTCTGCTGCCCGCACAGGGCCCGGAGCCAGCACAGGCTGGGATGCACGCACAGGGCACGCCTCTGCGGATGAGGGGCCGGGGCGCCCCAAAACCAGTTCCGCTCTCCGCGTTCGGGATCGCACCGTAACGAACTCGTGTGAACTCGCCCTGCGGAAGAAGCAGCAGTCGATGGGAAGAGCCCTCTCCTGGCCCTGGATCCGCCACTGCAGCCTCTTACAGCTCATCACCACCCTGTCATTAATTAACGGCTCTTGAAGCATCTGTCCCCGCTCCAGCATCGCTCTCCGGAGGGGAAAACAAATTTGGAGATGCCGCGGGAAGACCGGGGTCTCCCTGCCCCCTTCATCCTCCCCATGTGCCCTGCTGCAAGGCAGGGGAACTGTCACTGCACGAGGGACACTGTCCTACCTCTGTCCCCCTGTGCTGATGTGGCATCTGTTACCGCTGTATTCTTTCATGGGGATCAGACCTGGTGAGGCAAAAGGGGCCCACGGGATGCCCACCCACCTCGAGCCCTTCTCCCCCCCTACTTATCCCAAGTACAGCCTGTCCCTCCTGTCCCAGGAGAGGGACCTTCTGCTTTCCACGTCCTGCAGAACTGCCAGGATTCCAAACCAGGAGCATTTCTGCCCACCCCAGACTTTACAGGAGTGTGACCTTGGGAGAGGGGTCCCCAGTCCCTAAAACTGCTCCCAGCATCCTGCCAAACAGCCAAGGTTTCAACCCAGGAGCATTTCTACCAAGCCCCACTTCCCAGATTTTGCAGGAAGGCGACTACCAAGGACAGGGGGAAATGCTCTGAGGGCTGGAGCCCCTCTGCTATGAAGACATGGCAGAGCTCCTCTGCTATGGGAAAGCTGGGGGTGTTCAGCCTGGAGAGGAAAAGGCTCCAGGGAGACAGAGTCCCTTCCAGTGCCTATAGAGAGATGGAGATGGATCTGGACAAGAGATGGAGTGACAGGACAAGGGGGAATGGCTTCCCACTGCCAGAAGGCAGTGTTAGATGGGATATTGGGAAGAATATTCCATTTAATATCTTTTCCTGTGAGGGTGGTGAGGCCCTGGCACAGGTTGCCCAGAGTAGCTGTGGCTGCCCCATCCCTGGAAGTGTCCAAGGCCAGCTTGGATGTGACTTGGAGCAACCTGGTCTAGTGGAAATTGTCCCCTCCCCAGGGCAGGAGGGTGTAATGAGATGAGCTTTAAGGTCCCTTCTCACCCAAACATTCCATGATACGCAGTGGCACAACTGCCCTCACCTCTCCCGCGCAGGGACAGACCCACGGACACAGGACCAGGAGCCAGGGGTACATGAGATCACTTTATTGAATCCAATGGTGTTAGACAGATGACCGAGAAGAGACATGCCAGTTGGTGCGGGCAGCGTGGGCAGCAGGAGCTGACTTGGTGCAGGGCTGGAATTGTTTCTGTCTTTTCGGAATATCCTCAAGCCTCTTCCTGGCTTCCTTTTATGCTTCTTTTAAAATTTCTTTGAAGTAAAAACAACTAATCGTGGAAAGAGTCCAGATGGTGTTTGTTTGTTCCCTATGATTGTTCCCGCAGCTATGTACAACGTGGGGCTGGGTCTCAACATCAGGTATAAAATGGAGCGAGTTTACAAACGTGGAGGGTGCAAGGAAAAAGCAAAGACAGACAGGCAACAGCAGTAGAAATCTGGACCAAAATCTTAAAGAGAAATTTAAAAAGTGCTATAAAACCCCTTGGCAGGAATATCATGCAGTTAAGAAACACAAAACCCAGTCAATTACACAGATCATCTAAAACAGGAATTTGTCCATTTTATCTTTTATTTAATTAAAAAAAGGTTGTTTGTGTTTAATAGAAAAAAGCTAAAATTGTAAGGTTCAGGCCACCGGGCAGCAGCAGCTCGAGGGGGCAGGAGGGTGAGGCGCTGGTATCACCCACCTCCAGCCCCTCAGGGGGGCTCCCAGGGGCCATGGGCACCTTTGGGGGCAACTGGCACCTCTGGAGGTGAGAGGTACCCTTGGGGGGTGACGGGCAACTTTGGGGGCGACCTGCAGCTTTGCAGGTGGCAGGCACCCTTGGGGGTGACGGGCACCCTTGGGGGCAGCAGGCATCTTTGGGGACAACAGGCACCTTTGGGGGTGACCAGCTCCTTTGGGGGTGACAGGCACCACTGGGGGCAGCAGGCACCACCTTTGGGAACAACGGGCACCCTTGGGGGGTGACAAGCTCCTTTGAGGGTGATGGACACCCTTGGAGGTGGCAGGGGGATGAGTTAGTGCAATCCTTGGACAATTCCCTGGGGACAGACGGGCTCAGCCCACAGCCAGGGGATGGTCCCCAGACAGCTGCCAGGCTTGGGGACACGAGGTGCTTGGTGTAAGCCAGGAGGAATCCACCAGGACCTGGTTTCCCCAGCCCATGCCCATCCCAGAGCCCACCTGCTTCCCTTCCCTTGGAGACTCCTCCTGGATCACACTCCCACTTGCCACTCACCTCCAACTGCCCAGGCTGAGGTGACAGGATCAGGGGCAGCCCTGACCTGAGGAGGGACAGGGCAAACCTGCAGGACACAGGCTGGGGGACAACGAGCAGCTGGGGGGAGGACAGTCTAGTCAATGTTTTGGTGGCTCCCTGGGGGTGTCAGAAAAGAAAGCAAGCCCAGGCGAGGCTGCCTCTCCTCCCATGGGACTTCTCAGGACACCTGGGCAGCCCCCAAAGGTGCATTGTGTCCTTCCCATCCCGGGCACCAGAGCCCTGAGGAGGGGTTGGAGGGGACAGACAGCTCCCCACTGCTGGCCTCGAGCAGCTGCTGAGCCAGTGTCTCATACAATCAGAAAAGAAGTCAGCACAGCACAGTCATCACAGAGTACAAAAGAAACCCAAAACCAGGGACGAGGCGCAGGACCGGGCCCCCCCCAACCCACACAGGGCGTTCCACGACAGATCTATGTACAGTGAGTCCTCGGCCGACGGCGGCAACACAAGAGAAGGCAAACAGAAAGCCCTAATGCCCAAGCCAGCGTGGGGAGGGGATCCCGGGAGATCCCCATGGGAAGGGGCCGGGCTGGCCGGCCACGGCGGCAGCGGGAGGCTGTCGGACAGACGGAGGAGTGAGCACCATGGGGCGGCGAGGTGGAAAGCACCGGCCAAGAGCCCCGAGAGCACCGAGGGCAGAGGTGGCGGCTGCCTCTGACGGCACTGCAGGAGGTGGCCGTTCCAGAGGGGTGTGAGGCGTACCTGAAGGCCCCACCAGCCGCGGCACAGGGGGCTGAGGTTGCCCACTCCCCAGCCTGGCAGGGTTTGGGGACTGGGTAGGCTTGGTAGACCTGGCCCTGGGGTCACCTTTCCCCAAATATCCCTCCAGGGCCCCGGCTGATGGTGGGGGCTGAGCTGGAGGGAAGGAGGAGGCCCCCATAGGCTAGATGGGCACAGGAGGGGAATGCTGATCCACAGGGCACCCCACACCATGGCTGGGGACAAGCCAGCAGCTTGGTGAGTGCCAGCACCCCTGTCCCATCCTAGCCAAGCTGGCTTTGGGGACAGAGGACACTGGAGCTGGAGCAGGCTGTGACAGCACTATCCCAAGCTCCACGTGCCCCTTTTCCGCATGGCCGGGGATTAAGGCACCACAGCAGCACCAGGGCTGACCCACTCCGTGCAGCAGCCTAGCCTGTGACACTGCTGGGTAAGGCCAGAGGGACACATGGCAGTCCCAGGTGTCCCCAGAGCACCAACATGGGGCACAGCAGGACCCTGCCAGGCTGCAGGAGGGCACAGGGCTGGGAGGAGCAGGCAGCACGGGCAGCAACCCCAGGCTCATCAATCCACACCCCCAGGCCTGGCAGCACCGGGGGGATGGGGGGCAGGTTGTGCTCCTCAGCACTAAGGGGACAGGGATGGCATCCGGCTGCCCAGGGATAGGGCAGCAGCAGCCTCCCCCTGCCCTGGTACCTCAGGGAGGAGATGCCCCTGCCAGAAACCTTGTCTCCTTGCCCTGTGCTTTTGGGGAGAGGGGAGTGGCCCAGTGAGGGGCTGCTCTGGGAGCATCCCACTGCCACCAGCCTCCAAGTCCCACCTCAGCCAAGCTGTGCGGCCCCAGGAGGTGGGTTCAGGGACTGGAGATCATCCAGTGAGCACCAGTTTTGTAACAGAGGTGGTTTGAGTGGTGAAACCAACAGCTGCAAAAGAAACCAAAGGGGAAGGGCGCTGCTGCCAGGGAAGCGGAGGGCACCAGGCCACAAGCTCCAGGCCAGGAGAGCGAAGAACCAGAACAAAAAAGGGACCAAAGCAAAGTCTGGACTTGGCCAAAGGAAAAGAGGAAGGGGGAAACAAAATAAAATAACCAAAGCACGGTTTATTGGGCTGTCCTGGGCGCAGGGGCTGCCATGTGGGTGAAACAGGGAACGTACAGGCAGCAGTGAGAGCCGCACTCCCCTCGGCCCGCGTGAGGCAGGAGCTCCCGCAGCGGCGGCTCCCTTGGCTTTGCCCAGTGGGTGCAGAGGGAGCCAGAGCCCCTCATGCCTGCGCTCTCATCCTGCAGCCACACACTCCTCCTGTGCCCCCCAGCTTCAGCCCAGGTGGCTCCTGCAGGGTCCCTGCCCCACTCGGGGCCTTCCTGCGGCTCCCAGGAGCAGGGGCTCGGCCACAGCGGTCACCTTGGTCCCAAAGCCCGAGAGTTTATAATAGAGACAGAAAAAACCATGAAGAGAAACCAGGATTCTCCTACCCCCAGAGTCGGGAGGGGAGATGGCACCTCGTGCTCTCCCGTGGATGAGCCGAGTTTCCCCACGCTCCGCCAGGACACACCGGAGCCCTGCTCCTTTCTGCTCGCTCGCCAGCCCCGCGCTCCTTGATGCCAAAGGAAAAGAAGAGCAGCCCAGCAGGAGCAGTGGGTGGCAGCTCCCCTCTGCCTGGGCTGGCATGTCCGGGCTTCACAGAGTCGACTGCAGGTCAGGGTCCACCATGGTCTCACGGTCTGGAGACTCGATGTAGTTGGCGGCTTCCTGGAGCTTGAGCAGCATGGCCATCTGTGGGGACAGGAGTGTAGCATGAGCATGAAGGGGATGGGAGGCCCAGGGGTGCCTGGGAAGGCCACTTGCCCCTCCTTGCCCTCCTGGACAAACCATCCATCCTGGGAAGCTCCTTAAAGGGTAAAGCAAATCCCAGGATGCTGCAAAATTCCTCCCTTGCACCAGGATCCTGGCTGGGACGCTCCAGGCTCAGTGTGCCACAGCATCACCACCAGGCATCACCTGTGGCAGCCAGTCAGCCAGCAGCCTCTCCGGGTGACACGCCAGGACATATATGAGCACATGTGTGCCTGTGTGTGGCTCTGCACGTGGACACAATGCCTTGTGGAGTGCCACAACATGCCCATTCACTGGCACATCACTACGTGCCCTGGTGTGCAGCCCACCTGCCAGTACCACCACTCTGAACCCACTGCTCCTCCCAGGAGTGCAAAGTGCTTCTGCATCCCCAGACTGGGCTTTTTACACTGAAAATTAACTGAGAAAGCAAAGCTCCACCCTGCTCTGTCCCCTCCACCAGCCCCTCCAAGCCCACCCACAGTGTCCGGCATACCAGTGGGTCCGAGTCCAGGGAGCTGGGCGTCGTGTCCTTGACAGTGCGCTCCTCAGGGGGGGACACAGCGCTGTGGGGCCCGATGGTGGGTGGGGGCAGGTGGTACAGCTTGGACTGGTCCTGCTGTGCTGACGGCCAGGGCAGGGTGTCCCGCACCCACTCCACGGGGTCCTCCCAGGCCGCCTTCTGCCCATGAACCTGTGGTAGGGAGCAAGTCATAGCTGACTCCTCAGCACATGCCAGAGCCAATGATGTGGCACCCCGAGCCCCCCAGGACAGTGCCATGTCCCACAGCAGCCACACAGCAGGGACTGACAGAGATGTCATCTGCACCCACAATCCCAGTACCTCCCCTTTCCCCATCATGGCTGCACCAGCATGTCCCTGCACTGGTTTGTGTTCCCATGTGCCAGCAGCACTGGGTACCTTGAGGCCATCTTTTGCCCCCTCCTGTAGGTAAGGGATGATGGAGTTGTTCCACAGGTCAATGAACCAGGTCCGGAAATCCTCAATTCCAACGGGGCAGGACAGAAAGAAGCAGGGACCTGCAGGGAGAAGGCAGACAGTGGAAATGAGAGTTGGGTCTCCCTGCTCCAGTCACTGGCCCCATGGCTCACAGCACCAAGGTGGGCACACCTTGGCTGGCAGGGTGCCCTGGGAGCAGTGTCTGGGCAGCATCCACCTGGCACAGTGGGCAGATATCTCCCAGGCAAGGAATGGTGTTTCCAAGTTCAATCTATCCCCAAAAGCATGGTGAGGCATGGGGGATCCACCCAGAAAAACATAGTTCCTCCATGCTCCTCTGCTCCCGGGGTGGTGGGAGAACAGGCAGCCCTGGCTAACACCTCAGTGACAGCTCCCACAGGAACAAAGGTCACTCAGGGAAGAGCAATGCTTGTGTGCATCACCCACCAGCTGTGGTTGTGTGGGACTGGGGGACACAGGGAGCACATCAGACCCACAAGCTCCCCTGGGAGGGCTTGGCCCCAGTCCCTGGGAGCTCCCCACGGTGCATGGCAAAGGAGGGAGGTGAGGCAAGGCCATACCAATGAGGAAATCCGACGTGCTGTGTTTCTCCAGGAAGGTGTGCAAGTGGTACCAGAGTTTGGGCACCCAGTCCAGCACCCGCAGCAGCTCCTCCTTGTTGGCGTTGATGTCTGTGTCTGACTCCAGCAGCTTCCGCCGCAGGTAGCGCACCAGGAAGCCGTTGGCTGGCTCCACATTGTTGGAGAAGGTCAGCATCCTGGGGGAAGGACTTGAGTGGTCAGGGCTGGGTCTCCATGCAAGCTGCCCTACCCCCCAGCACCCTCAGGGGATGTCCTCACACCCCTAACCCTGCATGCGCCCGAGGCTGGGGATTCAGGGCCTGCTGGGGTGGCAGGCACAGGCCTGGGGCTCAGTCCTCATAATGGCCCCCAGACAGAGGATGTGACCCCAGAACTGCCCAGTGGTCAGTAACGGCTTCTGTCCTCCACAACTCCACAGGGCTGGTCACCAGGGATGTACAATTCCCACCTGAAGCTGAGATGGAGGCCGTGGTTGGGGGTCATCTTCACAGGCTGGTTGGTGGTCCCGATGATGTATGGGCTGAGTGAGTGATAGACAAAATCCATGAGAAAAAGCCTCCATGTCACCCCTGCCCGTGGCAGAGCTGATCTGGAGACAGCAGACACGTGCAGTCTCATTGCCACAGCCCAGGGATGTCACCAGGAGCAGCGGGGAGCACGTGTGTGCCTGGGGGGCTGCGCTGGAAGGGTGCAGGGGGCTCTCACCATTTGTGGTACTTGCAGGTGAGTGCACCGTTGACCAGCTCGCTGATGGAGCCCGCCTCGCTGAGGTCGTCCAGGAGGATCACCAGCGGCACATCCGCCGTGCCTGTCTCCCGGTCGATCTGGTTGGCCAGGTTGGACAGGTACAGCTGCAGGTCCTGCAATGAACGGGCCGGGTGTCAGGTGTGGGGCCACGGCATGATGGCCACAGGGACCATGGCAGCAGCGTCGACAGGGACACTGCTGCCCTCACCTTGCAGGACTGCTGGTGCATGTTGAAGGTGCTGACGATGCCCTCGGTGACATCCCGACCCGAGCGCTCCACCAGGTACTCAGCCAGGCGGTTGGTCAGGTAGGTCTTGCCGGTGCCACTGGGTCCCGAGAGGATGAGGCGGCGGTGCTTCAGCAGGAGGCTGATGTAGTGCTGCATCATGGGCTTGGGGATAAGTGTCTCGAACACCAGGCTGTCCACACACTTCTCCTTCAAGCCTGCAGGCAGGGGAGGGCTGAGGGTCCTGCTCACACCCTGTGACACCGTGAGAGAGCACGGACATGGCACAGCAACAGAGCCCCTCTGCCACACTGACCTTTGAGTGTCACCACGACGCTGGTCAGGCCCCGGCGGCACAGTGGCAGCTCTGGTGGCTCCATGTCCAGCACCCGCTTGATGTGGCTGATGCTGTAACCATAGACAGACTCGGTGCTGAGCCCCAGCGTGGATGCAGGATCCATCTTGGTGATGTAATCCTATGTGGAGAAAGACAGAGCTGTCAGTGCCCCTGAGGGCTGTCAGAGAGCAGCTAGCTCCAAGACAGCTGAGAAGGACCTGGGCCAGGGAACATCAGGCATGGTGGAGCAGTATCAAAGGATGGCTCTCCAAGAGGGCTCTTCATGCTCCTACCTTGAAGACCTGGCAGACAGCCTCATCCAGCATCTTCCAGTCCACCTTCCCGCTCACCTTGGTCCAGCCCAGGAAAAACTCCTGCTGCTTGAGGTCCTAGGAGCCAAAGCAGAGGTATGCAGCATTGGAGCACCACGTCTAACCCCCAAGAGGGCCCTTGGCCAGAGCCATGACACAGGGACAGGTCAGGGTCCCCACAGAGCCCACACTTACCCCCTTGATGATGTGCTGGGGTGGCATGCGCACCACAATCCGCAGCGTCAGCTCGTCCTTCTGGGTGCCAGCGCTGACAGCGTCCATGGGGGACACGTCTGGGGACAGAGCAGTGAGGCTGTGCCAGCAAGGAGAGCCCAGCCACCGAGCCTGGCCATTGCCCAGCCAGAGCCAAATCCTGCTGTGGCCAATGGTGGCATCAGCAGCACAACAGATCACCTGCACACTCCAGGTGAGCAGCAGCACATTCCCACCACTCACACCTCCCTGTCCCAGCCCTTCCCTGTCTGCCAGCAGCTCTGTCACCCCTACCTGCATCAGCCAGGGTGGGGCTGAAGGCATGGCCAAGGGTGAGACCCAGGGAGCGCCGCGGTGAAGAGGAGGTTGATGTGCTTGTGATATGGCTGGGAACAGAGCCTGGCACTGCTGAGGGCCCCGGGGCCACCTTGAGACGGTCGTTCTCGGCCTTCAGGAGATCCACCTCCAGCTGTGGGAGAAGCAGGTAGGGCACAGGGTGAGGAGCTGGATGCCAGCAGCACCCTGGGGGGCAGCATGGCTGTGGGGGCGCAGGGACTGTGGGCACCTAGGTACTGAGAGCAGCCAGGTTCCTGGCAGGGGTCCTCACCTGCATGTTGTGCATGGTCTCTCGCAGCTGCTCCAGCTGGTGGGCCGAGTTGAGGGCTTCCAGGCGGATGTCTGTCAGCTTCATCTCCTTCTCCCACAGCTCTGACCGCAGTTCAGACACCTCCTTCTTCTCCGGCTCGCCCTCATTGTGGGCCTGGAAGAGCCTGGGCCAAGGGAAACACCACATTTTGCACATGTCCAGGGCAGGAGCCTGCAGTCCCCACAACTGGCTCTCCCTGGCCCCACATACTCAGCTGTATCGATGCCCACAGAGGAGGAGGTGGAGGATTTGATGGAGGGCGAGGCAGTCTCTGTAGAGCCATGCTGCAGCTTGGGGGAGGAGGGGGCCGACGAGTCTGGCGTGGCGATCTCCTCGATGTCTGAGTAGGATGAGGCTGATTTGGGGCCCTTTTTGATGCTGAAAGCCTTGTTGAAGGAGCTGCGTAGCTACAGGAGAGGGAAATGTTCTTGTTAGAGACAGCCTGACAGTCCAGCCTCGCAAGCAGAGACCTGGCCTGGTTCTGCCCCATCTGCTCAGAACCCACAGACTGAGCTGGGACCAGTGCCACCATACCCACCACCGAGGCAGCACTGTGCCTCACCACCATGCTGGGCTCCAGCCCAACCCTACTCTGCTGGCACAACAGAAGGATGGGGTGCACAGCCCTTTGGGGAACACTCACCCCAGCCTGGATGGCATCAGAGACCCAAAGAGCAGGACCCACATCCTGGTCATAACATCTCCTGACCCTGCTCCCCACCAGCACCTACACTGGAATGTCCAGGCACAGCACCAGCACCCTAGTTCATTGGAACAGGCTGATCCATGCTCACATTCACCCCACCGCAGTCATCCCAGCAAGCAGTGTTTAGGGGGACGTCCCTCGCTCCAGCCACTGCAGAGCTGGGTCCTGCCCCACACCTCCCTCTGCCACATGGGCCCTGCTGGAAGCGCAGAGGGGCAGCCAGGGCAGCCAGCCCTCCGTGGGGGTCCCGTCTGGGCATGCAGCATGCACACAGCACACACAGAGCAGAGGGTGGGTGAGAGGTGGGCTGAGGCCAGGGAGGACAATGGACATTGCACAGGGACCAAACTGGATCTGGGTTCCATCAGCCTGTGGTAGAGCACTAGGACAGGCATCCCAAGCTCACACTGTGAGCACCAGGGTCTGCTCTGAGGGGAGATGGGAGGAAGAAGGGATGGAGAACACACAGGATCCATCCCAATCCCCACAGGCACCTGGCAGGCTGCTCTGGGGTGTCCCAAAAATCAAAATTGTTGCATTTCAGTGTAAAAAAAAGCGGGTATCCAGCTCTGCTGGTGGTGGGAGCAGGGGAGTGCTGGGACCCACATGGGTACTGGAAGGGACAGAGGCACTTGGGGCCACATCAGGCAGCCCTGGAGATGCAGAGATGGGCAGTGCCCCAACCCAGTGCCCCCAGTGCCACAGGGAGGGCTGCAGGGGGATCCCCATCCCAAAATATCCAGTTACAGGGAGTCAGGAGAGCACCTGCCTTCCCTGGGCAAGAAGGGGATTGTTCCCATCCAGGGGACAGGTCCCAACCGAGCCCTTCCTGCTGCCTCTGGGCAGTTAAAACCCTTCTTGTGGGTGCCTGTTTCGCCTTAGCATCCAAGGAAGCAGCCAAGGTGAGCACAACCTGGCTGGGGATCCAGGATGGCCTGTGCTGAGGTTAGGGCCAGTGGGATGGATGGGATGGGGAGTGTATGAGCACCATCCCATGAAATGGAGCAAGGGCCCTGGCCGGGCACAGCATGTGGTGGAGGGGACGGCATGGGACTTACCTCATAAACCTGGAAAAAAAGGGTTGAGGTCAGCATAGGGGGAGAGAAACAAAACAAAGCAAGACTTAATCACACATCCAGAGCTGCCTGGTGCTGGGAAGGGGCTGCCTGGCTGAGGTGTACGGCCCCCCACACTGCCAGAGCCTGCAGGCAGGAGGGTGACAGGGGAAAACACAAGGAAGCAGGCATGCAGAGCCAGGGCTGGGAAACTCCCAGAGGGACAGAAGTCCCAGCCAATGTGTCCATGGTGGCTACACACTCCTCATCACTGCTGTCCCCAGGGGACAAAGGAGACCAACACCATGAGGCCAAGGTAGACTGAGAGCAGCTGGTTTGTGGGGCTGACCCCGAGCAGACCCTGCCAGTGGCTCCCCAAGCCCCACGCCTCACGTCAAACGCCCCATCCAACCCACCCAGCTCTTCTTCTTCTTCTTCTTGGCGTCGGCATCCTTGCTGCTGCCGATGCTGGAGTGGCTGGTGATGCTGTTGAGACTGGAGATGCTGTCGGAGGAGTTCTGCCGCTTGATGCGCAGCTCTGGGGTCAGCCAGGGAAGCAGGAGAGATTGGGAAAGGAGGGATCAGCTACCTGCAACTGTCCCAATACCAGAGCATCCTGCACTCCCCTCCCTGCACCCCGTCCCTCCTCCCACCCAACACCTTCTGAGCTCTCTTTGTAATGATGACGTGGGGCTCAGACACCATATGGGCACTGCCTCAAACCCCAGAGAGATGCCCAGAGCACACATCATCCTGCTGCTGTCCCAGTCAACCTCCCTGCCAGCACCTTGCACCCACACTGGGGTTTCGGGGCTTGAAACAGCATTTATGGGAACTGGCTGTCAGCAAAGGGCCTGGCGAGGACGTGTCCCGGGGAGGATGACCACCTCATTCTCCTACACACGAGCATCAAGACCTGCTGTGGTGACAGCTCTGGCTGTCCAACCGTGGCTTCAGATGCTCAGGGGTCTCATGTGTGAAAGAGCTGCTGCCCAGGGAACCCTGCTGCCATGGGAGCTCCCCCTATGAGCGAGTGTGCCCTGGGGCCCTGCGCCAGCCCCAGCAGAAGCAGCCCAGCTCAGGAAGGGCTGCATCCCTGTGTGGGGAGCTGCAGCATCATGCCTTACCTTTGGGGGTGACATCAGTGCCATTCAGGGCACCCTGGATCACAGCTTGGGCCTCCGAGTTCTTCTTCTTCAGGAAGTCAATGGTCTCTCGCAGGTCCAACAGCTCCGTGTCCTGGGGGAACAGAGCCGGGAGCCATGGAGTGCATCCCAAAGGTGCAGGGCCCACCCCAAGAGCACCCTTGGGACAGACATTGCTGTAGCATCACCCAAGTCCAGCACCCCCCACCCCATGAGCCCCACCAGTGCCTGCTCAGTACCCCGACAGCATTCACCTTCTCCTCAGCAGTCTCAGCCAGGTGCCGCAGGCGGGATGTCATGCTAACCAGGCTCTGCTCAAAGGCCGCTACCAGGTTGGCCTGGGAGAAGTGGAGAAATGGGTGAACACCCACACTGGGGTCAACACCCACAGCTGGGTCAGCACCCACTGCCAGGCGTGGGATACAAGAGGCTGAAGGGGGAAATCAGGGCTCCCACGGGCACATCCAGCACAAGCCCTGTGCCCTGCAGGGACAGAGTGTTTGTGTCCTGCAGTGGCTCCCCTAAGGACTCACGTTAGCAGACAGCTGGGACGTCAGCGTGGCCACCTTCTCCTGCGAGGACTCCAGCTCACGGCGCAGCTTCCGGATTTGCTGTGGGGAGAGAGTGGAGGGATGAGGGGGGCTGGGTGCTTGCCCTCACCGGGGGCAGGAGTGGGCACGAGCAGAGGGTGTGGGCTCACCTCAGACTGCATCTTCTCCTCAGCCTGGCAGCATGAGAGCAGAGAGAGGCAGACAGAGGCAGGCAGTCAGGGGGGCAGTGAGGCACAGACAGGCTCAGCATCAGGCAGAGGCATGCACAGAGCCCCCCCCGATCCCACCCACACCCCCCAGCCATGCACAAAGCAGCGCAGCACAGAGGCAGCTCTTACGGAGGAGTAAGTGGAGGATGCGCTGGAGGCCAGGGACAGCACCGATCCGTGAACTGCAACAGAGCAAAATCCAGGGTGTCAGGGTGCCTTGGACAGTGGCACCCCAGGGGCCGCAGGTCAGGGCACAGCAGGGCGCAGGGGACAGTGCTCTCAGTGGTGGGGGGCTCTGAGAGGCCTGGGGAAGGCACAGGGTAGGATAGCAGCTGCTCAGCACTGTCCATTTCTTGGTGCGTGGCTGCTGAACTCCCTGGGCACGTGGCAGGGAACACCACCCTCCACCTGTACCCTCCTCTCTGACTGAGCTCGGGGGCTCTGCCACCCTCCCTGGCTGCTTGGGTTCCCTCCTCCCCAGTGCCACAGCACCCTGGGGCCAACCCAGGGACACTGGACACTCAGGGGGGGTCAGAGTAGACTGTGGCCTGGGGCAGATGCCAGCACAGAGGAGTCCACCAGGCCCCTCAGGACTATCCCTTCTCTGATGTCAAGGATGGGATGCACTGACTCATCCAATAGTGCTGTAGCACCAGTAGGAAGAGACAAGTGAGCAGGGAGCCCCCCCAGCACCCTTGGAGCCTCCTCTGCCTGGGCAGGAGCGTAGCACACTCTCACCATCGTCCACAGGGTCCCGAAAAGAGCCCGAGCGGATCATGCCTTTGGGCTTGTCGGCCAGGGAGAGGGTGCTGCCCATCTGGGAGGTGCTGTACAGCTCGAAGGTGGAGTCGTGGGTGGGGATGCTGTTGGAGCGGGTGATCCGCGGGGCTGCGGTGGCAGTGGGGCTCACTGCAAGGAGAAAGTAGGGAGGAAGCGGGCTCAGAGTCACACTGGGGACTTGGGATCGGGATGGGGAAGCAGGGCTGGGAGCGATCCACAAGAACTGGAATGCAGCAAGGAAGCAGGGATTGTGGTCCCAAAGCAGGGAGGGGCTGGGGGAAAGCTAAAAGGCAGGTTGATGCTGGGAAGACCTGGACACTAGCACCAAGGTAACCACTGGGCTGAGGAACAAATCCATCACTCCAGGGCCAAGTGGGCACCACCACACCAGAGACCATCACCTGCAGCTGCAGGACTCCAGCCTGCTGCCCCAACCTGTCCGTCTGGACTCCCCAAACCTGCCAGGAACATGCAGCTCCTGGTGAGAGCAGGGCAGGGCTCACCCCTTGCCTCACTGGGCACACTCAGAGGAGCAGGGACCACAGACTGAGCCCCAAAGGTGGATGAGATGCCCTGAAGCAGAGGTGATGGACGTCCCTGGTCCCAACCTAGCACCACAAGCACCAGGTGCTGGGTGTTAAGCGTGGGCAAGGAGAAAAGCAGCACCCAGGGAGGCACCAGGGGAGCACAGGCAGAAGGAAGGAAGGGGGCTGGGGACTGGCAGCGGAGGGCACTGACCAATGTTGGTGAGTGGACCTTTCCCAACCAGCGCCATGGGGAGGGCAGGGGGCGAGGGCAGGTCCTGCTGCTCTTCCGACTCTGGGAGCCCACTGATGGCGTGTGAGTGGCGTCGCTCCTTGGCCTCCTCCTGGGAGTGCAGCTGGTACCTGAGGAGCCGCAGACAGACACGGTGAGATCGACGAGGACCGCCCCAGATCCTGCCCAGTGTGCTGTAGCCCAGCCTCCTCAGCTCAGGGGCACTGCCCTGGAAAGCTCCACATGCCCCCTCTCTCTCCCCAGCACCATCCAAAAGTGATTTGGGCTCTTTTACCTCAACCCTTTCTTGGGCAGGGTGTTCCTGTCGCGGTTGACACTGGAAGGGAAGGAAAAACTGAATGACATCCCTGCAGAGATGAGGGAAGGAGCCATGGGGATTGAGCTGCAGAGACAGGGGGCTTTTCCCCAGAAATGTAGCAGGAAGAGGCTCTGAAGCAGGCAAAGGTCTGCAGAACAGCAGGGATGGATCTGAGCCCATGGAGGTGCCCCAGAGACCCAACCCTTTCTCCAGCCATACCTGTCCAGATGCGTGAGCCGGGGGCTTCCGCTCCAGCCCAGCTCCCCTGCCTCTTCCTCCTCCTCCTCCTCCTCCGTGCTGGCAGGGGGTGCAGCAGCAGGGGTGGTGGTGGTGCTGCTGCCCCCTGAAAAGGCACTGGGCAGGCTCATGGGCATCTGCAGGGACTCCATGCTGCGGTGCAGGCCAGAGAGCTTGGGGTACATCCTGCCTTCCTTGGGGACGCTGAAGCCGCCCATGAGCTCCAGGCCCTGAGAGAAGCTGGCTGAGTTGATGTTGAGGATGGGGGCAGGGCTGGGGCTGAAGCAGGGTGCCAGGTGCCCACCGGCCGGGTGCAGGTCCTGGAGCTTGGCAGTGTGAGGGGGGTGCAGCTCGCTAGAAGAGGGCAAGTCTAGGCTGTTGGAGTTGACTTTGTCCAAGTTGGCTAGGGTGGGAGGCTTCGCATAGGTCTTGGCAGCCGTTCTGGAGGGGGAAAATGGGTAAGGAAACAGGTGAGACTCAGGTGCTGGTGCTGAGCACAGCCATGCCAGGCATCTGCTGCCCTCGGGTGTGGAAGGACCATACCTGAGAGGTGTGGAGGGCAGCTCAGCCACCTTGGCCACTGGCGGGAGGTTGGCCTGGGCTTTTGGAGTACTCTCAGGTGAGCTGACACTCTTCAGTGTCCCGCACTCAGAGTCAAGTGCCACTGCCTTGGCCTTGGCCTTCTCCTTCTCGCGGTCCGTCTGGTTCACAGGGGCCGGTGTCCCACGGCCGGCGCTGATCTTGGACGGCTCCTTGAGCCGTGACACCGAGATGCTGCCCTGCTTGGTGCTCAGCATGCTGGGGTCTATGCTGCTGCTGACCGGCCGGGCTGCGCTGCGGCCACCAGTCACGCTCATGGAGCTGGACTTGGCGGGCCGGGGCAGGCTGCGGTACTGGATGTTAGTGCGAGCCCCTGGGGCCAGGAACCCAGGCTCAGCTGCGTTGGAGACATCCAGGCTTGTTTTCCTCCCACTGACTGGCTTGACAGGGATGCCAGAGCTCTTCTGGATCTTGCCGAGTGTGGCTGAGCCCCCAGCTTGCATGACAGTGGCAGTGCCGGTGGCAGGGGCTGGTTTCTTGTAGCCAAAGGAGCTGGAGGACGAGGGGCGCGCGAGCCCCGACGGGGGCTTCTTGGCATCAGCGGTGCGGTCACGGCCGGCATCGGAGGAGGAGCGCTGCAGGCCCGTGCTCTTCACAGACAGCTTGCTCTTGTCAGTGGCTTTGGTCTCGGGCTTGCCTAGTGGCAGGGAAGGACAGGTTAGTGTCCCAGGAGGCTTTGGGGACATTTGGGAGTGAACTAGCCCAGACAGGACATGTGCATCAGAGATGCAGGGATGTGATGGAGAAGAAGAGACATGCCAGGTCCCTGGTGCACCCAGTGAGCCCCCAGCCTGGCATGTGGACTTGAGGCCATGGAGCAGGCACAGACCCCCAGCCTGCCTGCAGGGATACACAGCCCTGTACCCCCCTCCAGCCATGGCCAGCTCCTGGGACTGAGCACAGCCACAGGGCATCCCATGGCTTATGTGCTCTGGAAGGTGCACAAAGACATCACCTAACCCTCTCCCCGTTGGAGAAGATGGACCCTGCCCAAACTGGGTCTCACCTGCCACTTTGAGGGTGCTCTGGGCTGTATGGGTGATGGGGGAGGTCACAGCCACTGGAGGGGTCTTGCCCTTCTTGAGGGAGCCCGGGGTGCCCAGACTGACAGGCTTCTTCAGCTCACCGCCCTTGGGCCCCTCCTCACCGCCATCCGAGGGCTCCCGCCGCCACTTGGAGGAGCCATGCTCCATCTTGAGGCTACTGCTGTCGTAGTCCAGCTTCTTGGGCGCCTTCTCCTCACCCTCACCGTACCAGCTCAGCCCACTCTCCACCAGCGAGCGCTTCTCCGAGTCTGTGCGCAGCTGTGGGCAGAGCAGAGTCAGGGGTGCTCCTGGCACCCACCCCAAACCCATCCCCAGAAAGCCAGCTGGGAGGATACACCAGACACCCTGTGCTATGCCTGTTTTCCAAAACTGGCATACTCCATCCCCTCTTTCCTGCCGAGGCAGTGGCACCAGGTCGGAACCAGTGCCAGGAATGGTCTGGGTGCTGCTGGCACCTACCGCTATGGCCGAGTTCCTGCGTGAGGTGGTGGGGGTGGAGGGCAGGGAGTTGAGCGAGGAGCTGGCGTTGAACTCCTCTGAACTGAGGTTGTCAGAGGCATCGCTGAGGCCGCTACTGATGGAGCTGCTCTCATCCCAGCTGCAAGGGACAGACAGCATCAGATCCCTGCCCAGCCCAGTGGGTCCCACCAGCTCCAGGAGCCTCCCTGTTCCAGGGGCTGCTGGGGCAAAAACCACCTCCTGGTAGTGCCCATGGCAGGAACAAGGTAGGAAAGGGCCACAGCTGTCTCCAGTCAGCCTGGGATGGGGTCAGTGTACCACTGGCACACAAGGCCCACACATCTCCCCATTAGGGCCCTGTGGAGGCTTTGGGGGGATAGAGGGTACCTGCACAGGGCAGGGAAGTCAGCACCCACACCACAGGGCTGGCAGCGCCACAGCTGGCACCAAACCCCCAGCGACGCGCCCCACCAAGAGGGCTGGGATTGTCGGAAAGGGCAGAACTGCTGGAATAAACAAACCAGCCGTCCCAAAGCATCCACCCTTCCTTGGGTGGCCCCCACCCACTCCACCCACCTCCCCCTCTCCAGCGCCCAGCAGCCACAGGCAGCAGGTCTGGGCACCGCTGCTATGTCGAGGCGGCTGCTCCGTGCCGGGGCTCAGCTGAGCATGCACGACCCCATCTGCAGGGCCGTCAGTCAGCCCCGTGCTGGGGCAGCAGCTGCCCAGGCGCCCCACGGGCCCAGCCGGCTCCGCAGCGCAGGGCTGTGCCCACGGCGATCCGGCACAGACGGGCACGGTGCACCTTCCAGCAGGATGAGCATGGCCCCTTTCAGGTCAGCAGCTGAGTAGGTCAGCAAGGCCCTGCAGCCTCCAAGGGGCTGGGGGAGGCTGGGGGAGACAACACTGGAAACAGGTTGCCCAGAGAAGATGTGGCTGCCCCACCCCTGGAATTGCTCAAGGCCACACTGGACAAGGTTTGGAGCAACCTGGTCTCGTGGAAGGTGTCCCTGCCCCACGGCAGGGGGTAGAACAAGATCAGCTTTAAGGTCCCTTCCAACCCAAACCATGCCATGATTCTGTAACAAGCTGCAGTGCAGGAGCAGAGCTGGGGGGCTGCAGCCAGCCCCAGTCCCTACTGGAGATGCCTGTTTCTCTATGCTGGGGCCAGAAAGGTGCAGGAGAAGCCCAGTGAACACCAGAGCCCCAGAAACTGGTAAAGCCATTTCATGTCATCCAAGTGACACTCTGACTCTGGGGACGGGGCAGCATGGCCACGCAGAGGAGAGGGCACCTGTGCCAACTGCAGTGCCAGAGCACAAGCAACAGTCATCACCATCCCCTCCAGGATGCCCCAAAGCTCCAAAGATGGAGCAACACAGGCAGCTCCAGCACCCTATGACCAGCACTGTGTGTCCTGCTCCTTCCGTCAGGAAAGAGTTCATCAGAGACCGGCCAGAGCCAGGATGGACACAGCTCCCTACATCCCCACATCAACTTCTTGGATAGAACCCACAGGTGCTGCTGCCCAGGAAGGGATTTCACTAGGACTATGTGCCTGGGATGTACTGCTGAGCTGGTCAACTCCAAGCGTCTCCCACCAACAGCCCTGTGCTGGGGGTGACTTCCCACTGGGACAGAAATTCCCACCGGGACAGAAATTCCCACCCCACAGCAAAGCTCCTCTCCCAGCGGGCAGTGCTGGGAGTGAGGCCAGGCTTCAGGAGAGCCACATCCTGCAAGGACGTGGCTGGGGCTACACGGAGCGTTGGGTGTCTCAGCTTGGCCTCTGGGACCTGGCAGAGAAACCCCAAATACTCTTGCAGCCACATATGGCATACCCTTGCTGCCCTGGCCCCAGGCACCCAGAGAGCAACAGGGAAAGGGGCACAGGGTCAGGGGCTGAGCTGGGGCAGGAGGTGACTCCAGATCCTCCTTGGCAACCCAGTGCCAAGGAAGGACAACATGGAAGGTCACAGGTGACATCCCAAAACCACTCAAAGCCTGGGGTGAGGCCAGGGAGCCAGCTGCGTTCTGTGGGAGTGACTCTGACTCTCTCATGAGACACATGGCTGGCACATTGAAGGATCCCCCAAACTGACACGTGTATGCCACAGGCAGCACAGCAGAAAAAGCCTCAACCACAGCACCACTGGCTCCTCAGCGAGCCCAAACTCCTGGAGCAAAGCCGAGTCTTGGCACCTCGAGTGCCCCCCTGAACCCCTAAACGGGGGGCAGCCATGTCGCACCCCCTGCTTTGTGCTCCATCCTCTCCATCTTACCCAGAGCCATTCCGAGTTCCCGCAGCCGGTCCCGCACCGAACCCACTCGCAGGCAGCCCCGCTACAGCTCCCGGGGACGCGGATGCTCAAGGGCAACGTGTCCGTCCTGCCGCGCTCGGCGGCGCTGGCGGGTGGGCGGGACCCATCGGGGGCAGGATGGGATCCACCGGGGACAGGATGGCCCCGGCACGGCCCCGGGGATGCAGATCCCGGCCCCATCCCCGGCCCGGAGAGGCGGCTGCACCGGCAGGGAGGGGGGGACGGACCTGCCCCACGGCGCGGTGCGCGGGGATGCTCCGCTGCGCTCCACCCCGGCCGCGCCCCGGCTCGGAGCGCCCCGCTCGGCAGCCCCGGGGTCAGCGCGCCCGGGGGCACCGGAGTCGCGGGAGCGGTGCGGGGGCTCGGCCCAGCCGCGCTGCAGGTGCGGGGAGGGGGCCGGGCCGGAAGGTTGGGGTGCCCAGGGGAGCCCCCCCGATGGCCCCGATGTCGCGGTCCCGGGCGCGGCCGCGCTGCCCCGACCCCCCTTTCTCCCCCCCTCGCAGCGCGGCCGAGACAAAGCACCGCCCGCGGAGCGGCCCCGGGGCGCGGGGCTTTGTCTGCCGGGGCCGCGCTCCGGCCGCGCCCCCGCCCGCCCGGTGCGGTGCGGTGCCCGTCCCCGTGCCCGCGCGGTACCTGCTGGCGAGGCGCGGGGCGCGGCGCGGCCTCCCCGCCCGCAGCATCGTGCTGCCCGCGGTGCGGTGCGGCGCGGCCCCGCCGGGCGGGCGAGAGGGGCGGGGGGCGGCGGGACCGCCCCGCTGCCCGCGCCTTAAAGCGGCAGCGGCACCGGGGCCCCCTCCGCCGTCCCCCAGCCCCGCCTCGACCCCGCCGGGACCGGCCCGGGGTCCCGGCTCTCAGCCCCGCCCGCCGCAGCCTCCTGCCCCGCGGCCGTGTCTGCACATCCTGCCCCCCAGCCCGGTCCCTGGAGTCCCCCAGCCTCAGCCTAGCATCCCCCCAGCTGCCCCCGGAGCCCTCAGGCCATCACTCACACACCCAAAGGCAGCACCAGTGCCCCCCAGTCCAGCCCACAGTGACACCAAGGCCATCCCTCGGACTGGTCCTAGTGCCCCCCAAGCCGCCCTGTTCTCCCTCCCCAAAGGAACCACCTCCCACTGTGGGGTGCTGGGACAGCTGCTCCCAGCAATCCCAGTGCACACCCCCAGTAAGGACACCCACGCCCACCCTGCTCTGCCCTTCATCAACCAAAATCCCTATTTTTGTCCTTTTTCTCTCTCTCGCATCAGAGCAGGAACCACGCTGCAGGGCAGGGTCCTCACCAGGATGGTGACAACTGGGACACCTTCACCGGCCCGGCCATAGTGGGCAGAGAGAGTTAACTGCAGCCTTGGCAAGACAGACCCAGTCCCTGCAGGCTGGGAAATAAGTAATTCCTTCCTTGAAGAAACGGCAACGCCTCTTGGCTCCTTCCTCGCTGCCCTATCACTCGCTGCACAGTGCTTGCCCCAGCATGGCGTGGCACGGCACAGCTGGCCAGGGGTACCCGACCATCCCTGTCCCTACTTATCAGCTCCTGCTCACACCCACCAACCCCTGGCCAGAGCTCAGGGTGAGGTCCCCAATACCTCCTGCAGGCAGCCAGCCCTGCAGTGGGGTGTCAGCTCCACAGCCACGTGCGCCAACGGGGCAGCACAGCCCACCCAGCACTGCATCCCCATGGTCCCTCCAGCCTGGCACGATGCCAGACACCGTCCTTTCCCTCCTCTTCTGCTGGCCAGCTGCCTCAGCCCTGCCACGGCCAGCTCAGGCAGTGTCAGAGGAGCTTCAGCTGGGCCCAAATCTGGGCTAGGGACATCCAGGGTGGCAAGGGGAGACAGCCTGGCATAGCCCAGCACAGTCCAGCACAGCCCAGCACAATGGCCCCCGGGACAGGCAGCTTTGACCCTGCCAGAGCCACGGGCCCACTGTGAGATGACAGCAGAGAATCGCTGCTGATCACAGCAGCCCCACTGGCACCAACACTGGCACTGACCCCATGCAGAGGAGCATCCCCAGCCCATTTCTCAGCAGAGGTTGCTGTTGTGGCCCAAGGTTCAAACTCTCCCCATTTCACCTGTCTCACACTGGCAGAGACACCTGCCCGTGTACCAGATAGACCCTCTGGAACCAGTGGGGGCTCCTGACACCCGTGTCCCTGCCAGGCTGGTCCTGCCAGATCCCAACTGCCTGCCTGAAGCCCACCCTGGATGAAAGCGAGTCCCTCCTGGTCTGCCCTGGCCCTTTCCTCCTGTCACAGGGGAGGAAGTGCAGGGCCTGCACCAGGGGGTCCCACACCCCACATTGGCAGCTCACTGACACCAAGGGGGCTCTGCAGCACCGGTGCCCCCAGCCCCAGCCTTATGCTGTGACTTGAGGCAGGAGCAGTGAGGAAAGCACAGGCACAGCCGGGACTCTTCCCACCCTCCCCCTCTCCTCCACTTAATGGGGCAGAAAAACCAATTAGCTGCATAAATCCCTCTGGGAGGGTTGGGGGCTCCCCATGGGCATGGGCAAGGGGGGCTCTGCTTCCCCCTCACATCCACATCAGAAACCACCTCAGGGCATCACAACACTCATCACTTCCTCCCTGACTCCCTTAGGATCCCCACAGCCCCCTAAACCCCTCTGTACCCTCCAGGACCCTCCCAGACCCCCAGGTACCCTCTCATATAGTGCCAGCCCCTGCAGAGAGCCAGGCTACCCTGACCCTGGGTGTTTTCTGATTGGATTTTGGGTACTGGCATCTGGCACCTTTCACCGAAGCCATGCTCAAAGGAACAGGGGGCTGCAGGGACCTGCCAGATGTGGAAACTGAGGTAGGGAA